GGTCTGAAAGTTGTTGCTACAATTTGCGACCAAGGAACTTCCAATAGTGCTGCTATTAGAGTATTGCACAATTATACGAAAGAATACTATTTACGAAGAAACGAAAATAACTATGATGATAACTTCTATGAGATTCAATGTGGAGATGAACGCGTCAAAGTTATTCATCTGTATGATCCTCCGCACTTGATAAAAGGAATCAGAAATAACCTCCTCAACAAAAATCTTGTGTGTACAATAAATGGAGAGCGGAAGGAAGCACGCTGGCAAGATATTATAGATTTGTATGAATTGGACAATAATATTCAAGAGGTAAGAATGTTACCTAGACTCACTAGAGAACATGTTATACCAAACGAAATTAGAAAAATGAAGGTTAAAAATGCTTGCCAAGTATTAAGTCAACGAGTAGCAGCAATTCTAAATTTTTTAGCTTGTAAGTAACTATATATATAATATGTATAATATATTATGTAATATGTGTAAAAATAACTAATTTAATTTATACAACATTTTTTTCAGCAAGGGATATAATGGACGTTAAGGCAAAGGATACAGCAGATATTTGTTTATTTTTCGACCAGATTTTCGATTCTGTCAATGGTAACTTCCACAAAGTTGTTGATGGAAAGGTGTATCGTACGGCTGTGACAAAAAACTCCCCACACCACCAACTATGGAGAAATGCAATTAAGGTGATGGAAACTATGCACTTTGTAGACAGTGTAACAAAACAGAAATGTAAATCTCAGCCACCTACAATTAAAAATTGGATACTAACTTTGAAAGGTAATTAATTTAAAATTATGTGGAAACTTTATACATAAATTTATATTATTCAATTTGTTTCATACATTTTTGTTTCTTTATTTTAACAGGATTTCAAAATGTAGTCAAAGTTATGAATGCTAATGGTGTGCATTCTCTACTATTAAGAAACTTCAATCAGGATCCATTGGAGAATATGTTTGGTGCTTTGCGGGCTCTAGGTTACAGGAATAATAATCCTAATTGCCAGATGTTTGCATCTTCTTACAGAACCCTGGTGTTGAACAATTTTCTGTCAAGTCACTCGCCTGGCAGTAACTGCGAAGATGACCAAGGTAATAGTGGGCTGATGTCATTTCAAACTTTATTTGATGCTTACTCAAAAGAAATGTTGGAAGCAGAGGTGACGGAACCATTACAAGACAGGGTTGCTGATGGAAAACTGCGAAAAAAACCACAAACGGAAATTACCCATGCTCAACTTGAACATCAAACCAATACTTATATAGCTGGATACATTTGCAAAAAACTCAATACAGTATTCATCAAAGATTGTTCAAAGTGCCTGAAGGAAATCTGCACGTCAACTCCAACAGAACAGCATGATCTAGTTAAAAACAGGGATTACCAATTAAATGGGAAATTAAATCTAAAATACCCCAATACAACATTTTGTCAACTAGTTCAAAACACAATTGATATTATTTATAAGCATTTACCGAGTATATGTCATCATTCCTCGTTGAAATGTGAATTAGTTAAAATTATCAATACAACTATTGATACCAACATTGTTTCATGTACAACTCACAAATCAGAGTTTGGCAAAAGATTTGTAGAATTTGCGATTAAACTTTTTGTCCATAACTGGTGCACACATATTAATCGAATATTAGCTGGAAAGATGTATATCAATAGTAAAGAAAGTGACCAAATAAAAATATTAGCATCTGCAAGATACAAAAAATTCTCTAAAAGGCCTCAATTTAGAAAAAAATAAAAAAGTAAAAAATTATAATGTATAAAATTAAATTAATTATTATCCCTTAATGTCATTAAATTTAAAACGTTAAATAATATTTAAATTTTTAAGTATTCTTCTTGTTAATTAATTAATTATTCATTTTTATAATATTTATTAATATTTATATTATGCTGTTCAATATAAAAACAGCACAATGAAATGTAAAATCTGTATTTATAATTTATATTATTCAATTAATTGTTAACTTTTTTATTGTTATTATATTTTAATGAATGTTAAATAATATTTAAATTTTTAAGTATTCTTCTTGTTAATTAATTAATTATTTATTTTTATTATATTTTTATTATGCTGTTCAATATAAAAACAGCACAATGAAATGTAAAATCTGTATTTATAATTTATATTCTTCAATTAATTGTTAACTTTTTTATTGTTATTATATTTTAATTAATGTTAAATAATATTTAAATTTTTAAGTATTCTTCTTGTTAATTAATTAATTATTTATTTTTATAATATTTATATTATGCTGTTCAATATAAAAACAGCACAATGAAATGTAAAATCTGTATTTATAATTTATATTATTCAATTAATTGTTAGCTTTTTTATTGTCATTATATTTAAAATGTTAAATAATATTTAAATTGTTCAGTATTATTTTTGGTTTTTTTCAGTTTATTTATTATTTATTTTTATAATATTCATTATTATTATAATTAAATGTTTTGTATTAATAAATCTGTATTTATTTTAATTTCTGTTGTTCTCTTATCACTTTATAGTTGATAATAATAAATTGGTAAAGAAAAAAAGAATTTCAATTGATAAATTCAAAAAAAAGCGGGAATACGGCCGCCGCGCCGCCGCCGTAGTTCTTGTCATCAGACACCAGGATCGCAGTTTTCAATGTTCGAAAAATTAACACAGCAGTTGCCTATCTATTAGTATTCTTGTCTATGAGTTGTTCGTCGCCGCCCGTCAGAGAAGGTCAACCGACTCCTGTGCCGCCTTCCGACCACTGTGCTGTACCCGTAACTCGTCGCCACCGTCTATTTGAGAACGCCGAGCCGAAGCTGCCGCCGTCCAAACCACGTGTCTGCCGACCTGTACGAAGTTGTGAACGTCGAGCCGTAGCTGCCGCCGTCCAACCATCTACTCACCGTCTGTCGAGAACGTCGAGCCATAGCCGCCGCTGTCCGGTCATTGACCTACCTCTTGCCGGTAGAGTTGAATTTGTCCTACACACCACCAGTCGAAAAAACCAACATACCGCCACGCAGAGCTGAGTCACTGTTGTTTACCGAGAGTCGAGCCGTTCACGCCGGTAATAATCAATTATTACCGTGCCGCCGTGATCGCGCCACTGTACGTGGATGCTCATTGCCACCATCGTCCCGCCACATACCATTCTACGAACCGTGAGTTAAATGTTCATGCTGTTCCCCCCCAATATTTTATGTAAATCCCGTAATTAAAATATTTTTTATGTACACTCGCAAGAGTATAATATATAATAATTCAAAAGAAATACTGTATTACACATCACCAAATTGTATCTGTATAACGAATTATTACGTATGTGAAATAAACGTGAAATAATAAATTGAATAAATACCAACACGTTATTTTCCTTACACAATTATTCGTCAGTCGTCACGTGTCAGATTTTTTTTTTTATAATAATCATTTTATTTTATTTATAATATTTGCTCATTCATAAATGTTGAAACCCTTCGTTGTATCGTTCATGATTATTACAAATATTATACCGACTTCTGAGACCTCTATAGGAACCCAGTACACGTTTTGTTAATCAATTAAAATCAGTTTTGAAAATTGAATACCTATAATATATATCTTAAATTAATAATTTCTTACCTAGTAAAATAATTGAATTAATTTCTGATTTTTTTAAAAACTGTATAGTTACTAAATAATAAATTATTTCAAAATTATTATAAAACAAGTTTTATTTGTTTTCATTTTTTGGTATAAATTTAAGAAGAAGAAACAAAAAGTTATAATATTACCTAGTAAAATGTAACATTACACTATTTTAAATCAGTAATTACAAAATTAATTTTTCAAACTAACTTTTATTAAGTAAAATCAAAAAAGTATTTGAAACTCATTTAAATACAAATAAGCCCACAATAAACTGGATTGATAGAAGATTAAATGAAGACATCCTGAGGACAATAGATAAAAAACGAACATTGATCGACATTATAAAGGGAAGGAGATGGCAGATGATAGGAGTATAGGACACACGTTAAGGCATGGAGATGAACTGCATAGTATAATAATCGAAGGAATGGTGGAGGGTCCAAGATCAAGAGGAAGACCTAGGACGAGATACATTAGTCAAATAATGCAGGATTCAGGAGTCATGCACTTTCTACAAGGAACTTAAGAATATAGCGAATGATAGAGAAAAATAGAGTCATTTATTGTAAAACGTTTTGTTAAAAACTATTCTCAGGATTGAAAAACTAAAAAAAAAAAGTATTTTTATTTGTTCTTAAATATTTTTTCTTAAAAGTATTTGAAATGTATTTGAATACACGGCAAGTGTTTTTATTTGTTCTTGAATACTTTTTCTTAAAAGTATTTGAAATGTATTTGAAATACTTTCTGAATGGATTGTCTGTATTTAAAAACAATTTTAAAAGTAGGTATCATTTACAAGACTGTTAAATACACAAACATGTAGCGTAGATCACACTGATTTCTTATTTTTGGTATTTCCTATATGAGATATATACAGTCCCCCTACCTATTCAAATGGGGTAATTTGTTGTGTTGTTCATAAGAAAAAATTATACTTTTGAAAACATTTCGTTGGGTCTTTTTTATTTAAGAAAAATTAAAAGCAAACAGAATACCGTTCTAAATTAATGGCGTTAAAATAAGTATCAAATATTGACGTACAGATGAATGGATAATACACAACAAATGTTATGATGAACTCCTTGCAATTTATTTCATGATAACTAAATTCTTAATGATGACAGAGGGAAATTAATAGTTGTTTTTAATAAAACACAAAGGCAAAAAAAAATTTCCAATCACATGTATCAAAAAAATTTCAAAAAAACAAATTAATGGTGTATCAATGTTATTTTTAGTGAGTCAACTAATGGTGAACATTTATTATAAATAAGACAATAGTACGAGTTACCTCACTAAAAAAAAAATAATAATATGTTAAATATGTTAAATACTGTATGTTAAAATTTTAATGATTAAAGATATAATAAGAAGCTTAGTAGAAGCCAACAAGCCTGTTTACACACGCATTGGGTTCGAGAGTACCGATGATTGGGCCTCAATATTTAATCCCCCGGATGCCGAAGTTTTTCAGACGAAAAAATTTGATCCATTAGTCAATTTTTTAATTAAATTTAAAGTTAACGGTCTTATTATTAACAGTGCAGACATATATAATGTGAGTAAAATAAAACATTATCTACCTATAATTTGTTAATTTACCTATGTTATATAAAAAAAAAATTCTTATTTTAAAAAATCAATCTATAACATAATAGTGGTATTTATTTTAGATTGGCGTAGATGCTGTTGCACAAAAAATTAGTGACTTCGTGTGTGAGATTAAAAAAAAAGTTGATAAATTAATAGTTGGTTTAATGTTTTCTGGGTCGTTCTATGAAAGTTTTACAAATATTACGTGTAAGTAAAATATATTTTATATACCTATAAAAGAACAACAAGTTATTGTTGTTCTTAAAGTTTATGTAAATGATTTCTATTTATTTCAATTAACCCTTCATATGTCCAATCAATAAGTGTAAATATAATATATTTTTATTGTAATTTTATACAATTTGTAAATTATTTCTTTATATTCTAATATTATGTTCTTCAAGTATTTGATTTTACAATAACAAATAAAGTGTTGGATCTTTATATTATCGATTGGTCAACATTAAACAGTTGTGACAAAGATGCAGTAAAAACTGGTATCAGTCCAGTTACATCAACTAATCCGAATACTATAACTATTGTACGTACCTATTCCTAAGTATAGTGTCAATTTAAAAAAAAAATACTATTTAATCATTTTTTTTTTTTTCAGGAAAAAGTTACTTGTAGTGTAACTAATTCAAACATGGAGAAATCGAAAATATATGGTATGGTACAAATAGTTCCAATCATTCCATTAAATCTTCTTTCAGCAGACGCTACGTATGGTATCACAACGTATTCTATAGTATGATTAATATTATTTTAATTTAGTAAATAATATATGTTTTAAAATCAATTTAACAAGGAATCGTCGAAGTGTTTACCTACATGATAATCTTGTTTCTATTATGCCAACAAACTGTGCCAAGTATTTCCAATCAGAGCACATAATAAAACCATTTATTCTGCCCCCATTAGGAATAATGATATGGAGAAATGTATTTAAATGTTACACATTAAAACATTTCAATTCCATATTCACTATTTAATAGTTTTTTACATAATACATTTCTGATAAAAATTAAATTTCTACTTTTTGAATAAAGGACAGATAATTAGTTATAAATCATAATGGCATTTAAATTTTAGATGAGTGGATAAATGGATCAATATATTTTGGAGTTAAGTGCCACTCTAGTCCATTTATTTACAGTATTCTAAACCTACCTAAATACTTTAAAAATATAACATATTATAATATACTAAAGTCTATAATAATTAATTGATTTCCCGTACACTATTTTATTTTATGTATTTTGAAAAATTTGATACTCTTCGAGAGAATTATGTGTTAAAATAATTACTTAGTGTGAAATGTTTTTAATTTTGACATATTACAAAAGTATATAAGCTGTACAATAATGCAACCAATATAGGTATAAATAATTTTTTGTATACTAACGGCGATTGGCGACTGGCGGCCTTGGTGTGCAGGTGTACGCACACCTGCACATATAATATAGATTAATATAGGTAAATATAATACTAAAAATGTATTTTAATGTTAACTCAATATCTATTAAACTGTATTTATTCCATAATACAAAATTAAATTTTATAAAAATTTGATATTCACTTAAACATGACAATTATTATACTAACAAACTGTAGGTAGTCGAGATATGCAATTAATACATATCAACTAGTGTGCAGGACAGGTCAGACAGAACATCGTCGGTCAGTGTAAAATACGTTCGAGCCTTTGAGTAGTGGGGGTATTAACAAAAAAAGGGAACTCGGTGTGCACGCCTATATATATAGCTGCTTATCTGCAACAATGTCGCCATATTGGCATTTGGCATTATTTTCTTAACTCCGCCCGTATTTTCAATTTTTATTTTTTATCAATCAAAAATTTTGAATTTGTTGCTTACTGATATCTTTTTTTTTAAAGAGCTTTTGAAATAACTGCATACCATCTACTTTAAACATCACGAGTCACCACTGTGTGCACCACCAAATATTTTACCGACAGGTTTATAGGTACTATCAATTTTAACTGTCCATTTGTAATTATCCATCATATTCAATTTAGTTAAATATACAATTCGTATTAAAGTAATTCTATAAGCAATGCTTTTATATCAAAGCCAATTTACCAAGAATCATAATTTTGAACAATTTATAAGCAAGTTATAATATTAGATATACGTACAAATTGAAAATATTGTCAATTTGATACAACTAAACTTTTTGGGATTTATTTTATTTCCTAAACGGCTATAAAACGTGAAAACAGTTAATATGTTAATCTAAACGCCACAGATTACATTTATTTTGAAAAAACAGTTTTTGTTCATGGGTTAAATATGTCTCCTTGGTTTTAGATTTTACACTTTTGTGGTTTTACATTAAAAATCATTATCTCGTTTTAATTACAGTATTGTAGCAGTACCGATAAAGCTAATTCATCTCAATGGTGCACTAACCCTTCACAACTTTCATATGATCAAGTAAGTATATTCAAATATTTTTACTATGCACACGAAGTCCCCGTTGGTTGGTAATTTGATAGAATCTTATTGTAGTGTAAAGAAAGACGGTAATACACACGGATGAAAGACAAATTATTATAGGAGAATAAAAATTGGAAAAGTACCTATAGCGAAAAACAAGGATACAATGAAAGTTTTGAAGAAAATAAGCCCTTATAAAAACAAGATATAATTTCCGGTTGGGGTAAAACGTACACTATAAGGCTACATTAACATATTAAAGTAAAAAATGTGGTGGGGAAGCTGAAACCCATTGGAAGATGAGCTCTGGTTGGTAACATGCACGTCATGTTATAGTATTGAGTTGATGTATCCAAGTGAGATTTATGGGACTGGTTGTTATGTGCCAGTGGCGACGAGAATGCACATGCGTAAAACGTCATCGTTGTTGCAGTATTTTTTACAATTTAACGTAATGGTGGAACCTGTATACAACGTGGCATCGTAGAATGTATAATAATATGTACCACGATTTAAGATAGTATGGTATTCCATTGTCCAACCGCCCATTAGAAACATTTTATCAGCACATGGCATACGATTTAAATCCAATAGGCACTTGATCTGGTGACTTTTTTTACCTACAGCGCTACCATTGGTAAAGTAAAATGTGTTAAAATGTTAGTTAATTAATTAATATTCATTAACAATTATTGTTTATTTTATTATTCACATATGATATTAGATAATTAGTGTACAGACATTAATAAGATGAGTAAATAACACAATAGTCCAACAGAAGCGCAACTACCGTAGATAGAAATCCTATGTCGTCTTATCATAGCTCGTTGGGCAATCATATTTATATTTATATACATATTATTAAAACGTGAGGCGATTTCTTTGGACAGATACAGCTGAAGTTTTACTGGACCGATTTCTGAACGTCGTTAGAGACAGAAGATCTACAACATATAAATCCATACTTAATATAATATTATTATATTTACGAATAAATGTACCTTTTTTTAGGTGGTAACGCAATGTTATCATCCAAGATCGAATTAAAGCTTGTTTATATTTGTTGATTAGTATCTACGAAAACTTCATTTTTTTTTTTTTTGTAAAAATTAAATTAATTAATTTGTTTAGCATTGGCAATGATCAACGAATAATTTATTATTTAGCTAACAACAAAAACGCACCCAACATTGCAATCGAAAAACGATGAAATACTAGTCATGATGTCCGGAACAAATTGTTCGATAGTAGGATTAATGTTAGTTACTGATAAATATATTTTATTTATGTCCATATACGGTTTAAACAATACATTAAAAATAGATTTTTTTTCCAATCCACTACGGACCGGTACCCTAAAAATCACTGGCCGGTGGTTGAGAATCATTGCGTTAGACGGTGTTGAGTTGGGAGCTACCAATAATTATCTAATGGTTCAGATCAATACCGAACACTTGCAGAATAATTTAAAAAATAAACAAATATTAAATATTATCTAGCTTGACAAGATACTTTCCCACGGTTACATTTTCATTTTCGTATAGTCTTTTCAAACATTTTTTTTTTTTTTTTTTAAATGCAATCTACGGTCTATACCACATGGCACAATAAGTAGATGTGAATGAGATTAGTCATATACAAATAATTAAAAAAAAATACATCATATCCTTAATAATATTTGTACATAATACGTGAAAAATTTTTGAGGAAAGCAGCCACCCATTAGTAACACTTCAATTTGCCTTAAATTTTCAAACATTTTAATATTAAAATATCGCTTTTCTAGTATACGTATTAATTTCTAAATTTTTTTCTGCGTTTTATCTACCTCTTTGCATAGTAAGGGATAGTGGTTGGCGATTGTTTTACATTTTATTTTATAATTGTTTTGTTGTTTATTTTAGGGAGTACATGCAAAAAAATTCTACGCTGGAATTGTCCTAGATCAGCTTGATACAGATGATTACGAGAGCAAATGTGAATGTGGACCATTTCCAGTAACAAACATAGTTCTTGATGGATGGTCAGGATGTCCTTTTAAAGCTTGTCCTAAACTAGATCAAAATTAACCGATGAAAATAATATATATAAAAAAAAATTTATTATGTTTTACTCTATATAGTAATAACTAGAGCTAAGATTTATATGCATTAAAAAAAAATTAGATAAGCGCTAAAAAATCTTATATGTGCATAAATATATGCAATAAAATGTTGAAATATTCATGAAAAATAAAAATTGTAAAAGAATTAGCAAAAAATTTGTATTTTTTTGAACGTTTAATATTATTAAAACAATGTATTGAAAATTATGAAACACTTTTTTCTGAAATAATGTAAATTGTCAATGGTCATAATCGATATTTACTTATCTTGGTATACCTTTTTTATGTCACCGATTATTAATTTAAGGTTATGTAAAAAGAATGCTAATATAAACATTCAGTGAATATATCATGTATCTAAGATCATTTGTTTTAGAGTTACACCAAAAACGATTTTGTCAAAAACCAATATTACGTAGAAATTACGTAAAAATTACAGTTTTTCCTTAATTTTTTTTTGTTTTTGAAAGTACTTTTGAAAACAACGGGAATTTTTACTTTTAACCCACTCAAAGTACCAACTAGATTCACTTTCCTATCAGAAAAGATGCTGTTGGAGGAAATCTAAGCATTTTTACTGTCTTAAAAGGTGATGACTGATACAAATAAAAAAAACAAAAAAAAACGCAGATCATTGTAAAACCTGCAATCATTCATCACTCAGCTAAGAATCTAAAATAAAAATTATAATACATATGTATGGCTTAGAGTTTTTTTTTTTTTGTATATTGTATATTTTAATGGACTGTTATAGAAATATTCGAAAGAACATTTTATGTATTTAGTATTTACATTTATGTCATGGATACTATTGTAAACAAACATAATATAATAATTGTCAACATATTATGAAAAAATGAAATTATTAATATTATAATATTAAGATTAAAGAATTTACAACTATTGATTTATTCACGTTACTGTTTTTACTTAAATTTAGCCCATTGGCTGCTAATTTAGCTAATATATTATTGTATATTGAAAATGGTTTTTTATATAAACATTACATTTCTCTAACTTTCTTCCAGCACAATAGTTTTTTTCTTGATATAATATATAGTAGGATAATAAAGTTAATTATAGAAATGAGTGAAATTCTCATAAAAATCAATATATGTATTGTAAAAAATATTTAAAAAAAACACGTTCTAATCTAATTTATAAAAAAAAAAACTTATAATGTTCCATTGATTATTACTTGGAATTTAGGGGTGAAACATAATAGAGTCTACTCAATGATTCTAAGAGCTTACGGTTAGCTAAGGGGACGATAGCGCCGAGTTAATATGCTGAATCGACGTGTTTTATCAAAGAAGAGGACTACTTGAATTCCGCTGATTGCGTTGCCAGACGTCACCTACCCTATATATAGTCCCTTTTTTGATGCCTTATCCACATCCACGGCGAACACATAATTATAATAATGAAACATTGCGGAAGAAACTATGAGTATATATATATAAAAAACATTTTATATTTTTTTTTGATTCCCCAATATCATATATTATATTCAAATTAAATTCGTAGAGGAAAATCTATTGAACTGCAGTTTCAATTTAATTGTCAAATATATTTTCGAGGATTTGAAATATTGGACTGTAACTATTTAAAATTATTTTCGAAAAAACTTAAAATGGGTAGAGCTTGGTTCCAGCCATTTAATATTTAAAAATATACTTACCTAATATGCAAATAACTAATATGTATACTGATATTATTGATTATTGATAGTACATACTACATAGATATCTGAGTAACATTGGTCGTCATATTTTATTTATATATAAAACAAGACATTCATATTAGTAATTTTATTTTAGTTTTTGATTATAGTTAATTACTCAGGTCATCACAATATTAAATTATTATAACTTACTAATTACTAGTAGAAAAATAGTAGTAAAATTTGATTTTTATACATCGAAAAATGACTGTATGTTAAACAAAATAACAATTATTGTTTTTAATTTTTTCACTCTAAATAATATTAAAAAAATATTAATACTTTTAGTTTTGATTAGTGCCCATTATTAAGAAACTAGTCCGCAAATTTTAATTTCAATAATAATTAGGAAATTGCAATTAAAGGTATTGCCGGTATTGGATTGTATAATAGGTAATAAAAGAAACTTATATAGCAATTATGCATAATATTATAAAAATTATATTCAAAACTTTAAAGGAATATGACTAAACCTATCACAAAATATAAATTATGTAGGGTTAAAGTACAATCGATACTATACATAGTAAAATTAGTATACCTAATATAGCTACTATTATATAACGAACAAAAAGAGTGTAGATACGGAGAATGACTCTAATAAAACAATAACTAGATAGAGGTAAAGTATAATTAGATAAAATATAGGTACACAAAAGTTCATTCATAAAACGAGTCTGAATAAAACCAATTTATAACCACATACCTATTTTATACTTAAAATTATATGAGTTTATCAAAAAAACCAATTTGTAACCACATATTTTATACTCAAAATTATATAAGTTTATCGAAAAAACTATTATAGTAGGTACCTATTACTTTATACTCAATCAATACGTCGTCGATTTTTACATTTCATTTGTCTAGTAATTTTTTTTTTAATATTACAGCTCAGCTATTACAACTTGTAAGTAGCTTAGTAGTTATCATTTATACAACATTTTATATTGAAATGGATCCATTCATGGATGCAGACATTAAAGTAGTGTTATGGACTAGGTATAGCCTCATTAAATAGATTTCCAGTATATATATATATATTATATATAATAACAAAATCTCGATAGAAAATAGACAAGAGAAGAGGGATTTCCAAAAATAATTTAATAAACCATTATAGTAAAAAAAAAGATAGAATTTATTTGATCCAACAACAAAAAGAGGTCAACGTTTGTCTAAAAAGAAAAAAATGTTAATTTTTTTATGTTTTTATACATGGACAATTCATTTAATTTTAACGATTTCCAAGGTTTATTCAAAACTAAACAGTATTTCATTGATAACATTTTTAAGGTACAGTATCTATTTAATTTCTGAGTAGTTCATAACTTTAATCTTTTTACAAGTCCAAAAAGTATGAACTAAATAATATACCCATATTATTGACCAATTTGTATGACAAATAAAGTAATATCACAATAGATACATCTTCGTCACTTCACTCATAATCCAAAAAGTATTGGTAGATAATAATGATGTACTGTAATTTCAGCTAATTTGTAAGCTAGGTAAAATTGAATAGCAAATTTAACAAAAAATGAATAAATTAGAATAAACTAATATTATATTACAATTTGAATGTAATTATTAAATTCTTAAAAGTTCCGACATTTCCCGTATGGATACAGTTCACTAATGATCCACGTGATGATTAGTAATTTTGTAGTATATGTTTAGTAAATAAAACACTGATAATATAAACATAATTTTATCGTTGTAAAGGTAATTATAGGTAATATTTTATGTGTGACGTACAAAGGATAACGTTTACTATACTTGTTAGCCTTTCAACTTTCAAAATAGGTATTGAAATATTGTAAGACGGGAATAATTATATTAATTTATAAAAAAAGTAACATCATTAGTCAGTAAAGTCACGGTATATCAGTAACTGATTTCATAGGAAATTAATACAAATATTATATATTTCACATACAAAATGACGTACCTATCTATAATAATGTTAGTATAATATTATTTCTAAAGCTACTTTATACCTATGTATTCGTATTTCGTACACCTAATATAGACAATCTATTTCAGGATTAGATATTATAATACAGAGTGATTATTTTATTAATTGATACACATTACTGCATTAGTATAAAAAGTATTACTTTTTTCCAATTTATCTTTTTGGAAAAAATCTTAAGATTACACGCAATTTTATCATTTTATACTGTCTTAATTATTGTTCACCGATATGTCTATTATTAAACCAGTATATTAGATAGGTAACTAACATTTTTTATAAGTGTACTTGAGATTGTAAAATTAAAAATATAGATTGAATTTAAAAATTAAAAGTTTCATAAGAATAACATAAGAATAAATAAAATATTAAAATAATTATTTGTATTTAACTTATATTTTTATAAAATAAAATATAATAATATGCGTTAACTGATCACCGTTCTACTGTTGTAAATGCATTAGTTATTAGTTATTATTTATTACTAGAGCACGGATTTCAGAATTTGTATATTTTGGATAATATTTTACTTTTAAACAAAACTATTTATGTATTTATTTACCGTAAGTACGTATGTATTATTAATACATTTATATATTTTTATACCAAATGCATTTTTTAATGTTTCTTAATGTTTTTTTTATAGCATATTTGTTGCATATTTTGAATTATTTTTAGTAAATTTCTTGTTATTACTATTTATTACATAAAATACTTACTTAAATATTATTATTTTTCTGTTTTTCAATATATTTACGAATTTGCTTGAATATATTAGCGTGAAATAACTTAATATTCTCATTTTATAATACATTAATTTTAAACATAGTATTTGCGGTTTTTCTAAGACCATGGTATCCTATTTTCAAAGTGTAAAGATAAATCTATTTTGGTACTAAACAATTACTTATTGACTTTACTAAACACAATACCACTATAATTAAATGTTGACATTTATCTAATTACTTCAATCTTATATCGCTAACCTACTACAGTATATGATTGTTTAGATAACATTTGAACTTTAATCATAAAACGATAATGATGATTATATGTATTTCATCATTCAGTTTTATTATTCGGTAATACCTACTACAGTAGGATATAATATGCCTATTTTCAGTAGCTCAGTTATTGAACAAACATTAATATTGCTCTTTCGATGATGAAATGTAAATATATTGTACGAGTAAATGTAAATGTAAATATATTGGCTATTGATAAACCCTTATAAATAATAATTCGTTTAAATAGTTAGTTAGGTGGA